TATATACATACATTCATACATACTGTAGATATGTACACACAGGCATATACTGTATACACACTCAGCAGTACTTGTAAATAAAAGTTGGCCTGTGTTGGTAATAAAAGTCACAACAAGGAGTTTTTCAATGCAATTGGCAATTTTTGTTAAAAGAAGCATGGCTGATATGATTTGGACTCAGAATGCAGGTGGGACTCAGGAAACGTAGAAAAAAATAAACTGATTTATTATAAAACAAGGATGGTGTTGATGCAGCCAAAAACTTTACTTACATTGAACTGGAACCACTTGGAAATTCAGAAAACACAAAAGGAGGACCATGATGTAATGATATAACATACTTAATACCCAACTGATTTGTAAACTGACACAGAGGGATTACATGCATGAAAATAAATGAGGAAGTAACCAACAGCTGCACTGAACAAGACAAGACGCAGGTGGAAGTGGGTGTGTCTGGATGCAGAACTGAGCTGATAACAAAAAACCTTTAAAAACTGGAAAAAACAACAACARCAACAACAGACTGTTTAGGATCTAAACTTAGAAACTCTAATGCTGAAGTGATCAAGTAAAATCACAATACAACTCTAAACACAGAAAGATATTATTGTTAAGGGAGTAAAACTATGAAATCAAAGAAAAATGGTGGACCAAAAGATGGTGGAAGTCAGCTGTGCAGAGGTAAGAGTTTGACTTTAAATAAAGCTGCTGGATTTAAAAGTTCTGTGTATTGTTGAAGTTTTTTTATGCCTTCGCCCGAGGAGACATACTGTTCTTGGGTTGTCCGTATGTGTGTTACAGAGTGTCCGTTACTGTCTTGTGTGCAATGTAACACTTGCTGTTGATTTCAGTCAAAATTAACATGATAATTGTTCTTGGTCCAACAGAGGTCTGAAAACATTGKGTCCACTAAGCCCAGAAGGAGAAAAAAAAAGAAATAAACAAAACAAAAAACATCCAGCTCTTTCAGGGAGCCAGCTTTGTGTTTGCTAGCAATCTGTCAACGTGGTCATCATCACCAGGGGTCTCATTTATAAAGGATTGCATGGAAACCATACTAAAAGTGAACGTACGACCAAAAGGCGGAAATGGCGTACACCAAAAAAATTCAGATTCCTGAAACCGTACGTACGCACGTTTCTGCCCATCTTTCCTTTATAAATCACAGCCGCAGAGTTTGCGCACGAGGGCCCGCCTCAGGTTCTAACCTCTACACGCCCACACTCAACCATAAACAG